GCAACTCCAAGACACATAATTGCCAGATTCACCAAAGTTGAAATGAAGGAAAAAATCTTAAGGGCAGCCAGAGAGAAAGGTCGGGTTACCCACAAAGGGAAGCCCATCAGACTAACAGCAGATCTCTCAGCAGAAACTCTCCAAGCCAGAAGAGAGTGGGGGCCAATATTCAACATTCTTAAAGAAAAGAATTTTAAACCCAGAATTTCATATCCACCCAAACTTAGTTTCATAAGTGAAGGAGAAATAAAATCCTTTACAGATAAGCAAATGCTTAGAGATTTTGTCACCACTAGGCCTGCCTTACAAGAGACCCTGAAGGAAGCACTAAACATGGAAAGGAACAACCGGTACCAGCCATTGCAAAAACATGCCAAAATGTAAAGACCATCGAGGCTAGGAAGAAACTGCATCAACTAACGAGCAAAATAACCAGTTAATATCATAATGGCAGGATCAAGTTCACACATAACAATCTTAACCTTAAATGTAAATGGACTAAATGCTCCAATTAAAAGACACAGACTGGCAAACTGGATAAAGAGTCAAGACCCATCAGTCTGCTGTATTCAGGAGACCCATCTCACACGCAGAGACATACATAGGCTCAAAATAAAGGGATGGAGGAAGAACAAAGCCAGAGGCATCACGCTACCTGACTTCAAACTATACTACAAGGCTACAGTAACCAAAACAGCATGGTACTGGTACCAAAACAGAGATATAGACCAATGGAACAGAACAGAGTCCTCAGAAATAATACCACACATCTACAGCCATCTGATCTTTGACATATCTGAGAGAAACAAGAAATGGGGAAAGGATTCCCTATTTAATAAATGGTGCTGGGAAAATTGGTTAGCCATAAGTAGAAAGCTGAAACTGGATCCTTTCCTTACTCCTTATACGAAAATTAATTCAAGATGGATTAGAGACTTAAATGTTAGACCTAATACCATAAAAATCCTAGAGGAAAACCTATGTACTACCATTCAGGACATAAGCATGGGCAAAGACTTCATGTCTAAAACACCAAAAGCAACAGCAGCAAAAGCCAAAATTGAGAAATGGGATCTCATTAAACTAAAGAGCTTCTGCACAGCAAAAGAAACTACCATCAGAGTGAACAGGCAACCTACAGAATGGGAGAAAATTTTTGCAATCTACTCATCTGACAAAGGGCTAATATTCAGAACCTACAAAGAACTCAAACAAATTTACAAGAAAAAAACAAACAACCCCATCAAAAAGTGGGCAAAGAATATGAACAGACAGTTCTCAAAAGAAGACATTCATACAGCCAACAGACACCTGAAAAAATGCTCATCATCACTGACCATCAGGGAAATGCAAACCAAAACCACAATGAGATACCATCTCACACCAGTTAGAATGGCAATCATTAAAAAGTCAGGAAACAACAGATGCTGGAGAGGATGTGGAGAAATAGGAACACTTTTACACTGTTGGTGGGATTGTAAACTAGTTCAACCATTATGGAAAACAGTATGGTGATTCCTCAAGGATCTAGAACTAGATGTACCATATGACCCAGCCATCCCATTACTGGGTATATACCCAAAGGATTATAAATTATGCTGCTATAAAGACACATGCACACGTATGTTTATTGCAGCACTATTCACAATAGCAAAGACTTGGAATCAACCCAAATGTCCATCAGTGACAGATTGGATTAAGAAAATGTGGCACATATACACCATGGAATACTATGCAGCCATCAAAAAGGATGAGTTTGTGTCCTTTGTAGGGACATGGATGCAGCTGGAAACCATCATTCTCAGCAAACTATCACAAGAACAGAAAACCAAACACCGCATGTTCTCACTCATAGGTGGGAACTGAACAATGAGATCACTTGGACTCAGGAAGGGGAACATCACACACCGGGGCCTATCATGGGGAGGGAGGGGGGAGGGATTGCATTGGGAGTTATACCTGATGTAAATGACGAGTTGATGGGTGCAGCACACCAACATGGCACAAATATACATATGTAACAAACCTGCACGTTATGCACATGTACCCTACAACTTAAAGTATAATAATAATAAATAAATTTAAAAAAAAAAAGAAAAATCAGAAAAAAAAACATTTAAATGTGCAAAAGATGTTAGTCTCTGATATGCTAATGAATATGGGTATTATTATTTAATATTTTAACTTTAATTTTAGGTTCAGGGGTATATGTGCAGGTTTTTTTTACAGGTAAACTCATGACTCAGGGGTCTAGTGTATAGTTTATTTAATCCCCCAGGTACTAAACATAGTACCCAATAGTTTTGTTTTGTTTTGTTTTCCTGAAGTTCTCCCTCCTCCCGCTCTCCACCCTCAAGTAGGCCCCAGTGTCTGTTGCTCTCCACTTTCTGTCGATGCGTTCTCATTATGTAGCTTCTACTTATAAGTGAGAACATGCAGTATTTGCTTTTCTGTTCCTGTGTTAGTTTGCCAAGAATAATGGCCTCCAGTTCCATCCATGTTCCTGCAAAGGATATGATCTCATTCTTTTGAATATACATATCAAACAGGTCGAGCATCATTTGTTGAAAAGACATCTCTCCACTGAATTTCTTTGAAACTTAATCATGGAAATTGTGGAAAAATTTTTTTTTAATATTATAGCTGGTGTGATTTTTTTAAGCCAATAATTTTTTAAGCCAATATTTAAAAGTCAAATGTCATGAAAAAATTCAGATAACTATGTTAAAAACAAGTTTTACAACAGCAAGCCCACCTAAATACAGAAGACTCCAGGTGAATATTACTACCCCATTTAAAAGGGACATGCTTCCTTCTGATTGCCTAGTTATCATCACTCTTTATTGTCTCTTGATACTAATGGCAAGAACCAGTTTTAGTTTCATATGATGCCTTTTTTTCTTAGAGTAGAATAACATTTTTGAAGAAATATGTCTAACATATAGTTCTTTCCAAAACAGAAACTTGAGCCTAACAGACTGTAAATATTTGACATTTCAGTAGAATTGAGAGAGGCAATTGTTTGTTGTTGAAAAAAAAACAATAGTTCTACATATTCAATATGCAAATAATATCTATGTAATTTCTTTTTACTGTAGTAGGAATACTTAACATGAGAGCTATCCTCTATAATTTTTAAGTACACAATACAGTATTGCTAACCCTAGGCATAACTGAAACTATACCCATTGAACAACTCTGCATTTCCCCTCCTGCCTCTGGTGACTACTATTCTACTCTCTATTTCTGTGAATTAGACTATTTTACATATCTCATATAACTGAAATCATGTGGTGTTTATCTGTCCTGCAGGTTCCTGCAGGTTCCTGCAGATGTCCTGCAGGTTCAGCCAATTTGTCACGTATGACAGGATTTCCTTCTTTCTAAAGACTAAATAATATTCCATTGTTTGTATATGTGACATTTTATATATTCAGTAATCCATCAATTGACATTTAGGTTTTTCCACATCTTGGTTACTGTGCATAATGCTGAAATGAACATGGGAGTGTACATATATTTTCAAGATCCTGATTTTAATTCTTTTATACATACTGAGGATGTACTCAGATATGAGATTGCTGGATCATATGATGTTCTATTTTCAATTTTTTGAGGAATCTCCATATTGTTTTTCACAGTGGCTACCCCGTTTTACATTCCCACTGACACTATACAAGAGTTCTAAATTCTTACATCTTTGCCAATACTTTTCTTTTTTTTTCTTTTTGATAATAGCCATCCTAAAAAGTGTAAGATAATATTTCATTGTGGGTTTGATTTGCATTTCTCTGATCATTACTGATGTTGAGCATATTTTAACATACCTATTGGCATTTGTATGTCTTCATTTGAAAAATGCCTATTCACATCATCTGTCCAAGAGTTTTTTTTTTTTTTTTTAATTTTTGTTTTTGTATTGAGTTGTATAAATTCCCAATATATTTTGGGTATTTACACCTTATCAGATACATGGTTTGGAACTATTTACCCGTTATCAGATATATGGTTTGGAACTATTATAGTTTCTCCCATTCTGTAGGTTGCCTCTTCACTCTGTTTTCTTGACTATGCAGAAGCTTTTTGGTTCAAAAGACTCCTACTTGTCTGTTTTTGCTTTTGTTGCTTATGCTTTGGTTTCAAAATAGAAAAAAAAAAAATCATTGTCAAAACCAATTTCTCTTCTTTTCCTGGTAATTCCATAATGCATGAATTGACTTCTTTGTGGTTTCCCATAAATCTTTTAAGCTTTTGTTACTCCTTGTTAATTTATTTGATTTTATTGTTATTCCTCTGATGGATAATTTCAAATGACCTGTCTTAGACTTTACTAATTCTTTCTTCTCTTTGATTAAGCCTATTGTTGAACCCCTCTGGTTAATATTTTAGTTTGTTTATTGTATTTTTAGCTCCCAAATTGATTTGTTCCTCTTTTATAGTTTTTTGTCTCCTTATCAGTATTTTCATTTTGTTCATGTGTTTTCTTATTTTGTTTAGTTGTTTATATGTGTTATCTTGTTACTCACTGAGATTCACTAAGATGATTGTTTTGAATTCTTTGTCAATTAATTCATGAGTATCCATTTCTTTAGAGTTGGTTATTCAAGATTTATTTTGTTCCTTTGATTGTATTATATTTTCTTATTTCTCAAGTTCCTTGTATCTTTGTGTCACTTTCTGTGCATTTGAAATAGAAAGCCACTTCTTACAGTCTTACTGACAGGGAAAGATGTTTACCATTCAGCTTTTCAAGGGATTCTGGGAATCTCTAGAACCTTTTTTATAGATGGGTCTTGTCTGGATTTGTGCATGTGGATTTATAATGAGAGATTTTCCGGTTGTTTTTGGTCTTCTTCCTCCTCCTACTCTCCTCCTCCTTCTTCTTTTCTCCTTCTCCTCCTTCTTTTCTTCTAAAACCTATAATCTCTTATTCCCTCTAATGTCTGATGAAAGTACTACTGTCTGAGACGTTGGAGGCATGCTGTACTCCTCTTCTTCCCTCCCTGTGGAGAAGCCTCAAGTTACATGTCTTCATCCAATCTTGCAGAGTTCTGTCTAATGCAGCAAGATGCCTGCCTGTTTACTTTGTTCTTAGCTGTCTCCAGGCATCCCAACTGTGCCTGTCCATCAGTACTAAGGGTGAGGTGAGAGAGAAACTAGTTCCTTGGAAAACACACCAAATGACCAGAATGTTGAAGACATATTTCACTTCTCTTCTTTCTTCCTTGTCCAGAAGCCTCATGTTCTTCACCTTCTCCCCTTTCTTGCACAGCCATGTTGGATGCAGTAAGCCACCCACTCCTTCCCTCTCTCCTTAGCTGTTACTGGACATCCAAACTATGCCAGTTTCATCAGCACTCCAGATGAGGCAAGACAGAAGCCAGTTCCTCCCTTGGGCAGAGTACCAAAAGCCTGGAGACATTAGATGCATACGTCCTTCTCTTTTTCCATCAGGAAGAAGTTACAAGACAAGATGATTTCACTGGGAGCTGAGTTTTGCCAGATTTGGGGAAATACTGTTGCAGGTAAAGCGAAATTTCTCTTCTTACCAATTTCAATGTAGTTGTTATTAATGTTGTGGTTGTCCAGGCTACTGCAACTTCTTAACAAAATTCTGGACTTCTTTAAAGGGTGTTTTGGTTTGTATGTTATTTTTAAATCAGTTTTTCTGTGAGGGGTAAAGCCTGGGAATTCTTATTCTGCTGTCTTTCTTATGTTCTCCACAAAATAATCTTAATCAACATATTTTATTTAATATGCTTTTCTTCTTATTCAGTTTAAAACTTTTTTGCCCTTTATATATTTTTTTATTTCTTGTTTTCATATTTGAGTGATCTACTTTAAAGCCCATTAATGCATTAGAGCTAATGGATGTTGTATGCAAATAAAATATATTATTATATGCATCTGCTTTCTATTTTTTTTTCCCCTCAGGATGTTTGACATTTTCAAGTAAAATTTTTCCCTAAAATCAGATGTAAAATCAAGGCATAGAAATACAATACTAGTATGCAAATTATTTATAAATATAATAAGAAATGGGTAACAAAAAGAATAAGCATAAGCAATAAATTAAGTAAACTATAATAACTAAGAGATAGAAAAATTTTCTTCTAATTATAGTTCTCTAATTATAATGTTTTGCTAAAGGTAATGCTATTAGAATTATAAAAGCTGAAATCAGTGGCACATAATGTCAATAAATTATTTTGCTTAAACCCCAGAACATCATTTATTGAAGGCTGATACTCATGGATAGAAGAGTTAAAGTGCAAATATATGCACCCTTCTATATGGATTCTGCAGAAAGATATGCTTGGGTCATGACTCAGGTGAATTTACTATGAAACTTTGTCTTTGGTAAAGCATCTTATTCTTGGCTGTTCTATATATATATATATATATATATATATATATATATATATATAAAATAAAGTTTGGGAGTGGCCTTGCTATTAAAGAATAAATTATTTACTTGGTTCTAGCTGTTTACAAAGTTGTTGGTGACTAATTGCTGGAAAGAAGCTGGGAAGTTTTGTGGTCCCTCCATTTTATATCCCCTCCCTTTGGTTCTGTAGGAAATTGAGTTCAGGAAAGCTACTACGAATGGAGTAAAAATCTTACTTTTTATGCATATGTATATTTTTTCCAGACAATTTGGAGAGAACTCCCTGAAACATTCACTGTGCAATTCTACTTTTTTGAATACTTACTATAATTAAAGTTAATTTCTGATTTACATAAAGACCGATCAGCACGCTAGAGAATTTCTGCTTCATGTAGTTATTCAAGAAAACAGGACTATGGAAGCTTTACCATCTTCACTTTGTGGATTTCGTATCTATTTCTACCTGGAATAGAAGAAAAAGATACAGTAAAAAATTGTAAAAGGGGTTTTCATAGGCAATGACTTCAAGTGTAGCATATTACTTCTACTTACATTCCATTGTCTGGATGTGGAATTTACTCATATGTGTACACTTAACAGCAAGAAAGATATAGCTAGTTCCCTTAAGAAAAGAGGTATTCACGCAATAGCTCGATAATTTCTGTCACAATGAAAGTAAGATATGCATTACAAAGTTGTTTTATTCTATTTTCAAATAATTCTCATTTTAAATTGGTTGCTGAGACATTTCCTTGGAGCATAGTAACAGTTTCAACAGTTTCCTACTCACTCAACATAATTTCCATAATGCAAATGAGAGAAAATAACTGGTAAATATAGGTTATAGTGTTACTCGTTAAAAGTGTTTTCCACATACAAAATTTTATTTGCATATGGTGTCCTTTGAAAAAGGAGCACTTAAGATTTTTTTATCTCTTAAAGTTAGGCATTTACATCTAGTTAAATTCAAATTGTGATATATTTTGTATAACAGCTTCAAAATTTATATCAGTATAAAAACAATTTCAGTTAAAAATCTACTGCATATTCACCACCTTAGGTCTACTCTATACAAGAAATGACACAAAAAATTACTCTAGAGTTTGAAACTTTCAGAAAGATTTTTGTTTTCAATCACATGCAGAGGGTTTAAATAATGAAAAAACCATGCTGTAATTGATTATAATGTTTCTGAAACAATAACAGCAAAAACACAATTTAAGAAGAAAAAAAGATGAGAAAAAATTTATTAACAACTAACAATAACCAATAAGAGATTAAGAAATACATTCATTTAAAATGTAATTATTTGGAGTGCTTAACACAAACTATAGTTCATGAACTTGTACCTACCTAGACATGATTTATAATATTCTTTAATTTTCAAAATATGTTTCAAAATGTATTACTTAGACAAATGTGAGCTCTCATTTGATGAGAAAGACAGACACTTGTAGCTAAAAAAATTCATGTAAAGAGCATATGCATTTCCATATATTAAACAGTGAAAGGCATAACAGAGGAACTTTGCCACTTTACATGAAACATTTTGTTTCTAAACGTTTGAAAAGATTGAATTGGGAGATAAAATTCAAGTTGAGATTTGGGTGGGGACACCGCCAAATCATATCAGTAACTTTATGTAAATTATTTATATTGATCATTCTTTTGTATCCAAATATATAAACACATAAGTAATATATGTTCTGTCCAGGGTTTGTGTGTGTGTGTGATATTCACTGTGAAAACCTGGTAGAGATTGAGAGGCAGAAATCCCAAGAGAGTGAGGAACCACCTATGACTGTCTCCCTGGAGTTTTTAAGTCTCAGAGTTGTCCACACTGAACCCACAGCAATTCATAAATCATGGTTTGTGTTTTTCCACCTAGGCACGGGTTTCTTTGGACATTGCTGCTCTGGTATGTTATGATTATCTGTATTCACCTGTTGCTGTCTCCAATTTAGAGGACAGCTGTTTGACTTGTCACCTCACTGCTTCTAGGGTCTAAGAAAACTCATTAATTTATCAATGTCTTCAGTTTTTTACTCGTTTGGACAGAATGATGACTTCCATGCTTCTTACATGCTGGACTGAAAACTGAAAACCATATGTGTTTTTTCAAAGGATAACTCTTTGTGAAAATTATTTAACTAGCACGACCTACTGTCTGTGTAAATATCGCATATATTTACTTTATACAGTCTTCCTTACTCAGAATGAAAATCTAAAATATTTATGGTGCTCTACATCAATTCATCACTTCTATCAGTAAGAGAGAAAGCGAGAAAGAGAGAGAAATAAAGACACATAGGCACACACACACACACACACACACACACTCATAGAAATAGTTAGAAAGGTTGAGACATGGTAAATGTATCTAAAACCCAGTATATTTGACCAGTTTTTAGGAAAAAACATAAAAAAATAAACTTATAAACAATTTTTATATATACATATATATGTGTGTGTGTGTATATATATGTTTAAATTATACCTGGTTACATAATATAAATATCTAATAGATGCCACTGCATTTCTTTTTAGGGATAGAAACGGTGATCTTCCTGAAAATTGGATATATTATACCCATTGAAAATTTGACTTATAGCTCAACCTCAATTTTTTTTTTTACTCCTCACACAAAATTCTACAGATAATTTTTCACCATTACCCAAAATTGAAATACCCTTCAATAATTACATAGCTTAGAAAACATTCTTTTAACTTTTATAACAACCTTCCATCACTCATTTTTCTTGCAAACTCCTACTCCAGGCCAAGATCATTTGTCATTCCTTTCTCATAATCAACTTCCACAACCATGCTTTAATTTACCTCGTTTTTAACCCTTAACACATTGTTAAAACAAGTGTATTAAACACATAGTTTAATAAACTCAATTTGTAACCTTTAACACGTTGATTTATTTTTTTTGTGTGTATGATTTAACAAATATACTCTGAGACCTTAAAGGTAAAGAAACATTTTATTCATCTTCAGATTTATATGTAGGATGCAGAATCAGTGAATGTTGTTAGAAAATGACTTGAATACTGTATTTTAGTTTAAATAGCAGCTCTTCAGAGAAAAGAAGTGAATTTAATAGATACATTAAATAAAAATTAAATTAGTTATTGTCTAGACTTCTTTATATATTCCCATCATGTTTAGTACAATGATAATCTATGATTGTTGTCATCATTTTTGTCATTTCCACAGGGATATGGTCTTTGTGAGTGAACATACAATTATATCATAGGTTCTTTTTTACAAGTTTTTCTCTGTGTTTCAAAGTTGTAGAGTTAATTGGAAAATCCTTCCCTGAGCACTAATTATACCACATTCATATACTCAATACATCAAAAATCACATTAGATTTTAATTCTTCATTTGAATGTCTACTTCTCTACTGGATTAAATTTTTTCAAAGAAAGTCAGTGTCATTTTTTTTCTTTAGTTCTCAGAAACTACCTGGAATAATGTAATCACTCATAAAATGATTTTTAAATGAATGAAATCATGAATAAGTAAATGAATGAATATTCTTGAATTACCTCTCAAGATTTCCATTTTTGAGTCACTAAACTTACATGCTAAAGAAAATGTGGTTCCAAATTGTCACTTTAGAGAACATTATAAGACTATAGCAAAGACATTTACTATAATCAATTTATTGTCTTCTAAGTATAGACTGTTACTTATACATTTTTTATGAAAAAAATCTATTTTTGAGAAAATAATGTTGACTTTTAAATGTGTTATTTACCCATATAAAAATTGTAGCTTTTTAATTTACGTGTATGCATGTATGTGCATGTGTTGAGAGAAGGAGACAGAAAAACAGATAAACAGAAATTATTGTAACAGATAGAAAGACACTGAAACCAGAATTTAAAATTCAATAAAATACAGACTGACTACCTAACTATGAAGAGAGGCAAGGGTGAAGGTTGTAACGCTGTATACAGATGACATGGGCATTTAAACAAAGGCCAAGGGGAGTTAGGAGAAAAACAACACTACCACAAATGGATGTTTTGGGGAAGGAGGAAAATGTCTCCTAAGGCAAGGAGATTGTGCATGGATTCTGGAAAGAGCATGAGGATACAGAATAATTTTTTTTTCTGTGTTCAC